TATTTCAAGTGAGCACTCAAGACCATAATGAACAAAACTTCAAACTTATAAAAATTATCTTATCATCAAGATATGAAACTAGAAATTTTATATGGAATATATGCTTCATCTTAAATTGCAAAATTACATGTTATATTTAAAAGCAATAAAGTAGATTTTAGCAAATTCTGATGCAACAAAACTAATGTTATCTTGTCATTCTTCTACAAAAACTTTGATACATAAGCATGTCAAATATGAAGATCAGTAATTTTTTTTTTTAATTACAATTTCAATTGTGTTTATTATTCTTGAGAATGTATGGTAAACTAATTTCAAACTGAAATATATACATACACATATATATACACACATATACACACACACACACTGCTTTTTTACTTATTAAAACTAACTCCAGAAAGGTAGAGCAACACATTAAATACAATGACATCATAAAGTATTGTTTAACAACAACAAAAATTCAACTTAATACTGCTGACATACCTCTCTAATTTCCCTGTTTATCCCAACAGATCAATAATACATATCTACAAAAGTTTAGTCCATGGGTGTAAATGGTCAAAACCCAATATTAAATTTCAAAACAGAAATAGAGGTTTTAGTCCAATGCAAAAAAAATTCCATTGTTATATTGCATGTATTATAATTTTGAAGAACCAAATTCACACATCGTTTCTGTACCCTATAAGCCAATACATTTAAGCTATCTCATAAAGCTACTGCCCATGTCCTTTCTAAGTTAAAACTTATTATTTTCCCTGTCTGCAGCTGCTAAGCTCTTCCACCCTTTTATCTTCCAGCTGCAGCTACAAAGTTTCTGCAAATCCACCTGTTTACTGGATCTTACCTAGGTTCTGGTCCGTTGAAGTAAGCAGTACCTGTTTGTTGTGCATGAACAGCATACTTTACACTCTTAGTTGCACTGAATGTCTCTACATCCTTCTGTTTGTTTCAACCTTTCTTTAACTTCCAACTGGTGTATGCCATGCTGCATAAAGTTGGGATATACTCTACAAGGGAGTGTGGATTTTAACTACAACTTGGTAGACCTGGAGTGTGAAACTATTACTCCCATGTCCATAGCAGAGTAATTGTTGTTGTTTTTTCAATGCTAGTTTATCTAGGTGTTTTTATGAATTTTTGGCATATTTTTCTAAAACAGATATCCCTTTAGGTCCATACAAGGTAGTTGCAGTTTATACACAAAGCTTTCCTTGACATATCCACCTTACGGTAACATTCATCTAGTATAAATGACCTATATTTGATTATTTTTTAGAATAAACAACTTCCGCAGCAAAATCCATAAAACAAATTATTTTATTGTCAATTACCCTGGCTTTATCCTGATCAACTGAAATCTTGTCAAACTTATTGTCTTTGTAGTATGACCTCTGCATCATGTTTTTAATGGAACTTTTACCATATTTCATACAGTTTATGAACTGACAGCATTTCCTCATTCAAATAATATATTAGCAATTTCTGGAATATGCTACTTCTTGGATAAGATGTTAAGAGGGAAAATTTGAAGAGGAGATTACACAAGGTATTTAGATCAAAGTTATTATGGAGATGTACCAAAATAACCAATATGGCAAAGATCATTTTACTATGCAAAACTGAAGTTACAAAAGAGGCAGTTTAACATTTACAATGTTGGGAGAATGTATTTCAGACAAACAAGTTGAGATAAATGCAACCCACTGATTACCATGCTCAATTGTTAAGCTGACATTGCACAGTTCACATCCCACCCCCAAAAATATCTATTGGAAGTACAACATTATGATATATCTTAGACAAAACAGTTACACGAAACGTTTACTATACAGAAAGCTTGTGTGCTGTTGTAGAATACCATTAGAATGTATCATTAAAGCATTTCAGTGGTAAAAAAAAATGTTCTCAGAAGCTTGAATAACACCAAACAATAAATTTCTCTGCTACTAGCAAAAAATGAAATTGTTTGAGTAATTTGATGATGCTAATTCTAAAAGTCATGTTCAAAATAACTGATCACCTCTAGTTTAAGTTACGATAGGTTTATTCAAAATATTCTTATATATGCTGCTTTGATAAAGACAAGTCACAAATCATATCACTTAGCTCTTCTTGAGTAATCACATGAGGCAATTTATGTTGAGGTGCCACAGTAACAGAATTATTAAATGAAGAGGATAAAGATGATAACTGTTTCCTATATGCTGGTGGATGTGGCACTGGAAGACCATCCCCATGAGGCACTGGTTTTATTGCAGATGCAATATCTTGATATTTAACGTATTGTTTAGTTTTGCTTGAATATCCAGAAACATCAGACAAGCAAAAATAGCATGATGATCTTTAAAGATATCATGAGAATTGCAAATGGCACACTTTCTATCTTCTTATTCAGGCAAACTGAACAACAAACATGTGGAGCCCAATAATGGCTGGAGACGGCTTGAATGGGTAATGAAGAAAAACTTTAATATAAGTTTAACATAACAGCAAATGTACAACGTTACGACAAGGTTTTGTCATCACCAGGTACAAGTAATTTACACTGACACTGTATTGAACAAAAGTCACACGACCGGAACTGTTGTGAAACTTAGAAGAGGTATCTAGGCACCCAGGGGTGTTGGTTTAGAGTAGGATTGTTTTGTTCAATTAATTTGTTCAAAACAATCCTACTCTAA